GGGGGGGCAGGTTGTTCCAGAGTTTGGGACCCATGACTGAAAATAGGGCTAGAGATTTATGTCAGCTGTTGACCAGTACCTTTCATAGTTAATCCAAAACTGACAGTTTATTCTTATTAACCAGTTAAAAAACCGCACTGAAAACAATTTGCTAAATAACTATGTTTTTTTTCCACAGATAAATGTATTAATAGCATTAAATCAAGGTAACTTACTCTCATTGTTGGGCATGTCTTTTCAATGATGCTGCACCAGGTGTTAGATCAACAAAAGCACACAGGCTGTGGTGGGAGCGAGTCCATCCATCAGACGTCTGATGAAAGTTTGTAAAACCAGGTGTCAAATGAACCCCACAGAGGCAGCGTCAGGACTTCTTACAAAAGCTGTTTACAAAGTGTAATTCAAGTAACCGAGGGTCTCTGATTACCAAAATACTCCCCACTACAATATGAGCTCTGAAATTAAACTCTGGGTTTCATCTTTAATGTGGCTTTTTGTGCCCCGTCATGAAGAGATGAGCGGGAATTGGAAAAACTTTCTGGTCGTTCGTCCATGCTTGTTGTGAGCATGATGACTTTTTAAAAACAAAGTTATTTTATTAAGTTCTTTAATAAAAACATGATAGAGCACGATAACTTGAATAAGTGAGGTACTGACTTCCATTTTGGTGTGTGGCTGCATGTAGGATTTAGAAAGGTTCCTTTAAAAAATATTGGGTTGCCATGTTAAAACCCAAGATGGCCATCACCATATTATATATAAATATAAATGTGTATATATATATACACTGGTTTATACACACATACAGTGGTGCTGAAAAGTTTGTGAAGCTTTTAGAATGTTCTATATTTCTGCATACATTTGATGTGAAACATCATCAGATTTTCACACAAGTCCTAAAAGTAGATAAAGAGAACCCAGTAAATAATTGAGACAAAAATAATATACTTGGTCATTTATTTATTGAGGAAAATGATCCAATATCACATATTTGTAAGGAAAAAGTATGTGATCCTGTAGGATTAGCAGTTAGTTTGAAGGTGAAATTAGAGTCAGGTGTTTTCAATCAATGGATGATGATCAGGTGTGAGTGGACACCCTGTTTGATTTAAGGAACATGATCTATCAAAGGCTGATCATCACAACATGTTTGTGGAAGTTAAATATTTAGTTAGCAAATAAATTTTGGAAATTAAATGTTTGGCTTAGAAAATAAATACAAACCGGATTCCAAAAAAGTTGGGACACTAAACAAATTGTGAATAAAAACTGAATGCAATGATGTGGAGGTGCCAACATCTAATATTTTATTCAGAATAGAACACAAATCACAGATCAAAAGTTTAACCTGAGAGAATGTATCATTTTAAGGGAAAAATCAGTTGTTTCCAAATTTCATGGCGTCAACAAATCCCAAAAAAGTTGGGACAAGTCCATTTTTACCACTGTGTGGCATCCCCCCTTCTTCTTACAACACTCAACAGACGTCTGGGGACAGAGGAGACCAGTTTCTCAAGTTTAGAAATAGGAATGCTCTCCCATTCATGTCTAATACAGACCTCTAACTGTTCAATCGTCTTGGGCCTTCTTTGTCACACCTTCCTCTTTATGATGCGCCAAATGTTCTCTATAGGTGAAAGATCTGGACTGCAGGCTGGCCATTTCAGTACCCGGATCCTTCTCCTACATAGCCATGATGTTGTGATTGCTGCAGAATGTGGTCTGGCATTATCGTGTTGAAAAATGCAGGGTCTTCCCTGAAAGAGATGACGTCTAGATGGAGCATATGTTGTTCTAGAACCTGAACATAGTTCTCTGCATTAATGGTGCCTTTCCAGACATGCAAGCTGCCCGTGCCACAAGCGCTCATGCAACCCCATACCATCAGTGATGCAGGCTTCTGAACGGAGCGTTGATAACAACTTGGACTATCCTTGTCCTCTCTGGTCCGGATGACATGGCGTCCCAGTGTTCCATAAAGAACTTCAAATCGTGACTCATCTGACCACAGAACAGTCTTCTATTTTGCCACACTCCATTTTAAATGACCCCTGGCCCAGTGCAAACGTCTGAGCATGTGGAGCTTGCTTAGAAAAAAAGAAGAAAACTTGTTTCCCACAATGTGAGTTATTATTTTAAATCTCCTTCTCCCTGCAGAGTTCCTGCAGTCTCGTGTGGAGGTGCCGATGTTTGGAATAGTCACCGGAGGAGCCATGGCCTTCATGGCCCTCCTCATCCTCAGCCTGATAGTTCTCTGCCTAATGCACAAAAACAAGAGCAAGTCCATTGGTGAGAACCATGTTTGTGGTCTAAACCTCTGTCCTCGCTTCAGCCTGTCATTAAACACTTCTTTGTGTTACAGAGGAGCCAGTGGAGATTCTGATGACCAAGAAAAGGTAAAAAATCATGTAAATGTTTGCATATTTGACAGCTCAAGTGATACAGACCAACAAGGCTGATGGAAGTCCAGACAGGAGGAAAAATACTTACAGATTCACTTGTTCAACTTTTAGGACTGATTAATTTTATTTTTTATTAACCTTTATTTAACCAGGCAAATCCCACTGAGATCACAGATCTTTTGCAAGGGAGGCCTGAACGCAGACTAACATGCATGTTTTTGATCTACAAAAATACACTCTGATATCATCTCACTGTAGAAAGTTACTGAGTGGCAGAATTAAAAAATATACCAATATTAGTACAACCAATGTGTTTGGTATATTTAACATACAGATTAACATTTTTATTTATTTTCTTTAAGTAAAAAAAAAAAAAAGACAAGTGTGTTTTCCTGTAATGATGAGCTGCAGTTAAGCACGTCACACACACGTTGAATGCTTGACAATGGTGCACTAAAAAGTTTTTAAACCTTAATGCATCACTTTGATTCACTGTATGATAGCAATACAGCACTGGTATTATATCAAATATATATTTTTAAATTTTGTCTAACATCTTACAGATGTCGACGAGTGTTTTGGCTCAACTTTATGCCGCATCTCATCTTCGTCCATTAGCAGAATGAAAGGAAACGCTGCTCAAATCCTTTTTATGCTCTTAAGAAAAACTATGATCTACAGATCAATAGCACCTCTGACCCAAGTTTGATCTCTCTTTATATTATTATCCACACAGTGAGTCAGCAAATCTGAAGGCTGACAAAGCAGACCAGATGCACATCCGGCGGGAGAACATGTCTCTGCCCTCCAACATGAAGCTCTACGACCTCAGTACTCTGAGAAGATGTAAGTTTCCTCCAGTTCAAAAACATCAATGCTCAGAGAGAAGTGGCTCGAGGTGCAACAAGCAGCTTCTCATTTAACTATGCACATGTGGAACGCTGATGTTCCCCATCGCTGATGGGATTTGAATAGTAAATGTTTGTAGTTTTTGAGATGAGGGTTTTTCTGGACTGGAGTTGAACAGGAAATGCAAGTAAACCTTCATGTTTTCAGTGCAAGATATTCAAGTGGGTATGAGTTATACTGTGGAGAAGAACAGAGGGAGATTTTATTTTCCTGTCCGAGGCAGAGCAGAGTGCTGGATCCCTGAGCCAGAGGGTGGTCAATGGTGGCTTGGAAAGGTTCCTTTTGAAAATTGGGTCGCCACGTCCAAATCCAAGTTGACCTCTGCCATATATACAGTATGTGTGAACCAGCTACCACAATCATTGTATGAAACTATGCTTTCTAGATTTTATCATGCTTAAAACTATAGTTTCCTCAAATGATTGGGGGGGGGGGGGGGGGGGCTTAAGTTTAATTTATGGTGGCCAAAGCCACCAATGGCCACCCCGAGCTCCCTCCACTCATCACACACTCTGCACTGCTTCGGACAAGAAAAATCAAAACGCCTCCCTCTGTTCTTCTCCACAGTGTAACTCCAACCCACTAGAATATCTTGCACCCAAAATATTAAGGTTTACTTTCATTCCCTGTTCAATTCCAGTCCAGAAAAACACTCTTCTCAAAAACTACAAACATTCTCTATTCAAATCCCTCAGTGACTGGGGGATATCTTCCTACCGTTTGTTCATGTTTTAATGCGAACAACGAGCACGGACGGATAATATTAGTAATTCCCCTCTCTTTGCTCTGTGACGGGGGACAATAAAGGGAAGTGCAGTACTTTGAAAATTACAAGAACAAAACATTTCATGGCCAAACACAGTTAGGACTGATTCATTTATTAAGTAAAACATGCTAGCTAAACTGATGAGTTCATTAGTGTGTAAAAATAAAATGTCCAAAGTTTATGAAAACATCAACCATTTAATCAATGAGTACAGAAAATGTTGCTTGTTTTTTTTTTTTTTTTTGCTAATTTAAAAGCTGCTTATGCCCCTGGAGGCATTTCACTCTAAACTGTAGCCTCTCAACTTTTATTTATCACAATCAGAATATAATCAGTTTATTTGTGTAGGCAGAATGATGGTAAAATTACACATTCAGACCGTTTCTCCATGATGAATACATTGCATACAGCTAGGTGCAGTTAGCATAGTACATGCTGTAGATACTATCCTCAGTAAAAGACGAAGGAAAGACCATCACACTGTGGAGATAAATTAGTCCCAAATATATTCACCAATGCAGAGTTTTTTTAAATTTTTTTTAATAAAATCATTTCAGACTGCACAAACAGGAATTTTCTTTGCATATGATTAGTCAAATGCATGTGATGTGCACGGATCAGCTTGCTTGTGAATGCGATTTTTGGAATTTTCTTTACGCTCCAGATTCACAAATGTAATGTTGCGTTCAAGGCTGGTGAAAAGCTGGGACATTTGGGACATGGATGACTTCTGTTCCATATTATCTAACATATTAATTTGTGTTAATCTGGTTAATCCCACCAGCAACAACTGTTATGTTTGCTGGTGCAATTTGTGCATAATGTGCAATTGACAATTTAGACGAGTAGTATATCCCACTTGTGCAGTTTGAATTAAGTACATAAAAAACTGTTTATTTGTTTGAATCTTATACCCTTTTGTGAATACTTATGAGCTTAATTTAGATCCATACTATCATATAAACGGAGTTCCCAAGTTTGAACCCTGACACAACCTCGTCAGGACTTTGCACTTTAGGGATGAGGCAGATATACATGGAGCCACATCTGTGTTGGGCAACCTACATGAAATATGCATTTTGTCCTTGGATGGGGGACTGAGAAACAAGTTGCCAAGGAAACGGGAGGCTGCACCTCATAAAAGAACCCCACGAGAGAGAGAGCTGTGAGAGACAGTACCTAATAACTTTCTTATGACAAACCATTTTATTTAATGCCAACCTACCCAGCTCACTGCTTCCTTTAAGTGCTGCTGGAACTGTGTGCAGTTTTTATTTTTTTAATGGCGAGGTTTTGTTTGTTCCCTGATGATGCAGCCTGTTGCTGACCACATCAAGTTCACTGATTTGAAAGGAATCTCACGACTACTTGCACGTATTGGCCTCAATATGTTATTTCTTTACTAAAAGTTGTATGTAAACTCCTAATTAGTTCAAAAAACATATACAAGTTTATTGTTACATTTTTTATCTAAGGACGTCACCATTGTTGTTACAGTGCAATGCATTCTGGGTCGCTGATGGACATCAGTTGAAGTGAAGACTGAAACACGAGGAGTCGAAGCTAAAAGTTTATGACATGTAACAATAGAATTCTATGTTTGTTTTAGTCATTTCTGATTTCTTTCTCGTCGTCACAGCTCGAGGAGCTGCCCAGAAACACAAAGTGGGTGAAGAGAAGAAAGAGGAGGAGGAAGAAGATCTTTCTTTGATCTACGCAGCAAGAGGTCAGACTGTAAACTCTGAACTTGCGTTTCATACGTAATAAAATACATTTCTCGACGGAGGAACGGCACCAAGTACAGTACGTTTTGTCGTGTGCCTCCAGGTTTCGCCAGGTATCCGATGGTGGGCTACATCTATAAAGTGAACAGCACTAGCAGCGAGGAAATCTGGCTGTGACTGACCTCAGAGCAGCACGTCTACTCCATGTGCATGTTTGATCCCTGCTCCCAGTGCAGCCGTCTCACTGGAAGTCACGAACAACTGCCACTCAGACAATAACCAACACCTTCATCTCAAGTCTCAGAAAATAAACTAACGTTGAAGGCTGGACATTATTTGACTTTGTTATCCACAGAACTAAGCTGTTCGCACTGCGGACATCAAACACTCAAAGTATGTGGAATCCTTTTCTGTAACCTCACAATGTTTCTTCTGAATGCATTTATCGTCCTACGCTAATGAAGTGGCTCGTTCTTTATACAACAAATGACCAGTAAACAAGAAACAGCAGACTCCATAAATCAGGGTTTTATTCAAGCAAAAGCACCAACTCGAACAGTCTTGTAGCTTTTCAACAACTTCAAAACAACTTTCTGGTTTATTTTATACTGTACCTCTTTTGTACGTCATAAAATCTGTAAAGTCTCACACACTCATACAAGGAAAGTTCTCGGGTCGGGCTGACCCTGACGATGTACGTTCTCTGTTCAGAACCTTGGCTAACACACGTACGTCGCCCTTCAACAACGCTCTCTTCATGCACAATAATGGAAGCAGGATCTGATCAGTCTCTGCATCCAAACTCTTCAAAACTCTCCTGGCTGTCCTCCATGCTCATTTCTTCACTGCATCCATGAAGTATTTTTCAAGCTAACACGACTGTTCGAGTCGGTGTCTGTGCTTCATGAAGGAGAGTCTTCTATTTGTTGTTGAATGAAGAATAAGACACTTCACTAACAGCAGAATGCTACATGTTGACATGTAACCTCTGAACACAGGTGGTGCATAAATATAGAGAATACATAACTGTTTATGCACATGCAACATGTCTTGTACTGTATATTTGTATGCATATGTACATGTGTATAAAAGAGGAGTCTAATAAAGATGCTGATTGAATGCAAATGCTGTTTGTCACCAGGGGGCGCTGTGGTTCATGACCTGGTGAAGCAGGTGCAGTGTGTGTGTGTGTGTGTGTGTGTGTGTGCGTGTGTGTGTGTGTGCCAGGTGTGCGGCCTGGGTCACAGGTTTTTGTGGCTTTTCTTTTTTACAGGAAGCAGAACGGTGTTGTGGGAACACATCTCTTTATGTTTCTTCACTGCTGCTTTGGTGCTGAACAGGGAATTCAACCTGTCACCCACACACACGGTCTTGTATTTCTCACTTTGTGGGGACTTTGCATTGACTTCCATTCATTTCTATAGACTAACCCTGACCCTTACCCTAAAACTAACCATTACCAACCAGTACATGCCTAACTCTAACCCATCAACGAGACTTATCCTTATGGGGACCAGGCTTTGGTCCCCACAGTGTAACTTGAAACAAAACCGCACACACACAGACATCCACACAGAGCCATTGAAAACTGATGGGGATTCGAAATATTTCTCTGGACAAGCCTGGGTGTGTTTCTTGGTTTTACCAACTGGAGCTGCTCATTTTGGCACACATTTCCCAGCAAAACAGTTGGAAAAACAGTCAGTTATTTCAGATGAACCCACCTCTTCATCTTCATGATCACTGTTTTCAACTCCGGGTTGGATGAGATAATTTAAACAAGGAACCAACAGGGGAGGATAAAACAAGATTTTTAGTTATTTTGTTGCATTTTAACTCTAAAATGATCAAGTCAAAATGCTTTTAATGAATATTTGTTGCAAATGCACAAACATTCTGTTTTTATTAAAAACAGACAAGCAATAAAAGCAGTAACATTGTAAAAAGTACTTGGCTACTAACAAAACGTCCTGTGTTCACCTTGTTGCCAAGGATTACGAACTGTAGTTTGTTTAAATGTTTTATTCACTTGTTAAAAGTAAAAGAAAAACACTTTTTGGCTGCAGCCTGGTGAGAACGAGGACAGAGCGACCACAGAGACTTCCTTCACACTGCAACTGACGGAGCTGCAGCCTGAAGCTCCAACAGCAGCGCTGCTTTAAGCTCCGTAAGTTTTTATTAATACTACTTGAAATCATAGTATTTTATTGATTTAGATCATTTTAGGACTTTTTATATGACCTTTAACCCCCCCACAAATAAAAGCAATGGTTTTATTTATCGTTGTAAAATAGACACAATTTAAAGTTGATGTTTTTTGGTTTAAATATATAAAATGATTGTCTTGTAATGGCCACCTTGCATCAGGAGTTAGCTGTTGTGCTTTAGGAGAATAAAATGGTTGACCAGGTGCAGAAAATGGCTTCCTTCCGGGTGTTTTGTCCTCAGTAGTTGATGTGTTGTTGCTCGGGGTGAACTCAAAGTATTTCCTTGTTTCATCAGAAAGCATCCAGGAGCTCAGACACCATGAATTATCAGCTGCTGGTTCTTTGGGCTCTGACAGGTTGGTCTTACTTTTTTATGTTTGTTCTTAATGAGATCAAATAAAACTTGTAACATTTTGCATCAGTTATGGAGTTTTGGTTGGTGATGCCTGATCCTTCTAATTTGTCCCAATCTAGACTGCTATGAAAATTTCAAACCTTTATTCTCTAAATGACTAAACTAATATTTGTCTTTGCATCATGTTTCCACACAAGCACCATAATCTCCATGTAGCCCTGCGATCTGCAGATGTTAGGAGACTGGAAATGATTAGATGAACTCTGGTTGATGCATATTTTTAAAGATGAACCCAGGAAGACTGAACGAACCAGAAGACTTAAGATGTTGGCTCATTTCTCAGAACTACTCCAAGCAGTCTAAAGTAAACCACAGATTCAGACTCAAAGGTATGGAGGACAGAATGTGACAAAATTAAATAAATAAATAAACACACAATGAAATGTATCATTTAATTATTAAATACATCATTAAATCATTAAATACCCAATACAATTATTAAATACACAATTAAATTACTTGTTTAGTGATTTA